CGAGCAGAGAAATAGAGATGTTTAAGCGATTCGCAATGGCATTTGCGGTTAATTCGTGTGGTACCCATTTTCCCTCCTTTTGAATTTTTCCCATTGCATGTAGACGTTTGGAAACAGCCATCGGAGTAACATTTAATGCTGCAGACAATTCTTGGAGCGTTTGAGTAGAGTTTTCGTCCAATAATGCCTGCAAATCGGTGTCTTCAAACTTTTTCGGTTGGCCTGAGCGTTCTTTATCATTGACATCAAAATCACCACTCTTAAATCGCTGAAACCATACTTGGCATGTTCTTTCTGATGGAGCATAATTGCCATAAGCTTCGAAAAGCAATTTATGAGCTGCAGCTGCAGTTTTTTTCAAGTCAAAGTAATGAAGCAGCACATGTCGAAAAACAACTTATCACGTTCCATATTTAATCAAAAGAAAAAATAGCACTGCTCACTTAAATGAATCTCTTCGCACTGAATTTTATTGACAAATGTCTAACCTCTAAAATACAGCCAGTTTCAGATGTCAAAATAAATTACACCTACAACTAACGTCATCTACCTGTGAGCCGAAGGAACTAAGTTTACCACCTAATAGCATCCATGCCACTCCGAAAGTGGTACCTCCAAAACATGTGTTTTAAACGCATCAACCGCTTCTTCTGGCGTCGAAAATCGTTGACCACGCAGTTTATTCTTGATGTTCGGGAACAAAAAGAAGTCATTGGGTGCCAAATCAGGACTGTACGGTGGATGACCCATTAATTCGATGTTTTCACTGGTCAAATAGGCGGTTGTTTGAGCCGATGTGTGAGAGCTCGCATTGTCATGGTGAAGAATGATTCGTCGTCTTGAGTTGTTTTTCCTTATTTGGCCGAAGATTTCTGGCAAACAAATGGTTATGTACCACTCAGAATTGACCGTTCTACGTTTCTCTAAGGGTACTGTTGTCACATGACCAGTTTTTCCAAAAAAAACAGGCGACCATTTGTTTCGAAGTGCTTTGAGCGTGAACAACTTTTGTTGGGTTAGGTTTACTTTGAAAGACCCACACAGTCGACTGCTGTTTAGTTTCCGGCTCATATGCATAGATCTATGACTCGTCACCTGTGTAGAGGTTATATACGGCATTTGACGCACCTCGATCGAATTTCTTCAGCATTTTTTTGCACCAATTTACACGATCCTTTTTTTTAGCAATTGTCAAATTATGCAGGATCCAACGTGAACAAATTTGTTTTACGGCCAAATGTTCATGCAATATCGTTTGTATGCAATTCATACCCAGGGATGCCTGAATCTCACGGTATGTCACATGTCGATCTTGCATTATCAATTCACGCACAGCATCGATGTTTTCTGGCACAGCAGCTGATTTTGGACGACCTTCGCGAGGTTTGTCGGTGAGCGAACTACGACCACGATTGAATTTATTAAACCAGCGACAAATAGTGGCCTTGCGTGGTGCTTCATTGCCAAAAGTGGAAGCAAGTTGATCGATGCACTCTTGTCTTGATAATCCACGTCGAAAGTCGTAAAAAATCATCGCACGAAAGTGTTCTCGTGTTAATTCCATTTTTTCGCTGAGACACAATTTTCAAGTCACTGCCCAGATAGCCAAGCCTGTGCGAGCAGATTTTACGCAGAGTCTGTCAACAGTATCTGTTGACAGAATGGCAACAGACTGCACACAGAAACTGTTTTAGCAGTCTCTGACGACAGATTGGTGGCAGACTGCGCGCAAAGCCTGTCGACAGATTCTGACGACAGACTGACGGCAGATTGCGCGCAGATTCTGTTTCCTAGGCTATTTAATTCTATTAAGGGCCATATGAGGGCCATATTAAGGGCTATTTAGATAGGCTATTTAATTCTATTAAGGGCCATATGTACGTTATTAAATGGGGCAGTTTCACATACACACCATGCTGCAGAGAAGTCAAGATAATTATATTGTGTAATAATTGTACACATATACACAATAAAAAACAATGTTTATATTTTAAAATTGTATTTTTTATAAAATTATCATTTTTTATAAAAAAGCAACAATAATAGAGAAATAACGAGTACAAGTATAGAATAGTACAACGGTTAAGGGGAGATATACACCTAGGAGCCGGAAAAAAGGTCATCTTTGTGAATTTTTTTAAGGAAAACTATTTGAAATTTCGGATTGGGGGTTTTTCTATCTAAAAGTATACACATTCAGGAATATGTCCAATTTTTTTTATTAAAAAAAATCAAAAATTGACGAGGTTGTGGTATAATCTTTGGAGCGCCGTAAAAAAATCCGGGTAAACGGTACCCACTGGCGTTTCTTCAAAAATCATCTGAAACAAAAAAACCAAAAAGATTATTAAATTAGATACTATAATCTAGTACTTGTCATAGCCGATTTTGAAAATATCGATTTATGACAAAATGGCGGACGTTTGAACATAACATAGCGATTTTTCGACCAAAAATTAGTTATTATTTTGCCTATAAAACAAAAACTAAGCAACGAAAAAAAAAAT